AGTAAATATAATGAACCTCGACTGGAATTCAAACTCCTCTCTCCGATTTCTCATTCCGTGACGTTATCCAATAATTCAGATTAAAAACAAACGACGGTTTATGCGAATTAAAACAGCAGATTAAATATGCTTTTGTGTGTTTCTTCAGTAGCGCAACCACCTCTCCTCGAACTTCTTACTAAAGTGAAGTTGATACCAAAACTCTATACAGCATTCTATGAAATTGTGGAAAAGGAATAAAAATTTCTAAATATAAAGCCAAAACGAAATGAAAATAAGTATCTATCTATCTATCTATCGCGATCTGTTTCTATCTATCTCGATCTGTTTCTATCTATCGCTACCTATCTATCATGGAGTTAGAATTCACAGTCCTTGGCATTTACTTTTTAAAAAGTGCTCAATTCAAACGTAGGGTAAAACATAATAGTATAAAAATATTTTAATAATATTATATATATATATATAAATTACTGTCGAGTATCTGTATACAGAGAGCACAGATACTACACTGTTATTCTAGGTGGAGAACCAGGAATCAACGCTGATTCAAAAGAATTAAATGCCATTTTTGACGTGTGCGATGCGCAAATAAATAAAATAAAAGAACAAATGAAGAAATATGAAGGCCCCTACAAACGAATGCAAATCTGGCGCACTTGATACGTGCTTGAATGTGTTTGTATCATTCACATCTGATCTATATGAGGACATTTTACCGAATATTTGACGTCACTAGTGCAAAAAGCTTTTGTTTTTGCTGACGATAAACAAGAGCAAATATATATTTTTAATATTCAACTCATTATCATCAACAACTTCTACTACTAATGATAATATTGATGATGTTTTAATTTCTCTTGGGACCTTGCAGGCTGATATCTAGAATCTTCTCCACTTCTCAAGATAATTCTTTCTTTTTTTACCTAATCTTATCCAGACATACTCAATCTCGATTTTAGCTTTCGAAAATGACAAAGGGAGACAAATCATATATATAGTAAGTGAGTAACTTGCAGACATCTTGATTCCGATATTTTACCAAAAAGCCACATGAGGATCCGCTTATCTACCTAAACGGACATTTGATATACAACAATCAAAGTACAAAAACCTACTCAATATTGTTTCATTGCCTAATCTCCAAATTGTGATTCACACATGCACTGTCAAGTCCTATTTAATTAGTTGGACAGAACTCGTATTTGTGCGATTTTTATATCAAGTCACTAAGATAGAAAACGTAGCCATCTACACAACTGATGTAAATCACAAGTGCATCTCACTCAATTACAATAATTCAAGAAAAAACGCTTTCTGAAACGAATATTTATGCCTTATTAGCCTATTTTAATCGAATGATTAGATACAAAAGAATTGAAGTTACAGTAAATCTTGAATGTGAAACTTTCGTTATTAATCAGCATTAACAAAATAAAGTCGGCACAAAAATAATAATCTTCTGGTATCAGAACGTTTGCTCGTTTCTAAATATTCTTATATTTGTATTACATATCGTATTTAAGTTTCAAGTAGGAAGTTTTAAACTTTTCAAAGTCGATTTAAGAAAGAGGCGAATATTGTTGGTTAAAGCAAACGTGTAATGAGCCAGCATCAAACATGATCGAAATTGAGAATTTCTTTCAAGTGTATAATTCCCTCAGAAAGGAAGGGAAACATTTGGATATTGAACAGGTCAACCTAGTTAATCAGGTGTTTGGTTTGGTTTATTTTGTTTAACGGCATATCAACACCTCAATGGGTTATTTAATGCCGACAACATTTTTAGGATAGATTCGTATGATTAGAGTATGTATTCTTTGGTTTAGATTGGTTTGGTTTATTTTGTTTTACGGCATATCAACCTCAATGGGTTATTTAATGCTGACAAAATTTTTTATGCTTGTAATTTTGTCAAAAATCTGTTTCTAGTAATATATTTCCTTCAAAATTGTATTGCTGGTAATAATTTTTTTCAAAAATGTAATGCTGGTAATAGTTAACTATTTGCCCATAGCTGGGACCCTAACAGGTGCTACCACCGAGGGTCAGGGTGGACCTGGGAATACCAGCAATTAAGATGTAGTTCCATGCTCTTCAAAACGTCCTGAACAGAGGCCTTGCTGCTGGATGTAGTTTAACGTCTTAACCAAGACGCGGATGTAGTTTAACGTCTTACCCAGGACAGTCAGAAAGGTATATTCGTTCGATAAGAGAAGAAATGAAATAAGAAAACAGTGTTCCTCTATCCAACAATAGCACTAAAACATCTGTTTTATCTGACCTGGTATAGCAACAAGGTTCATTCTTAAAGCAGACAACATTCAACATAGAAGTAATGAAAAACTGACACAGTGAATAGAGCTTTACAGATTTGCACACTGCTGTTTTTCTCATGTGTTTTTGCTTGCTCATTTTTTGAATATGGTTCAGGAGAGAGTCGCCTGCAACACATTATGAAATAAAGCAGATTTTCTTTGATCATCTAAGTTTCTGAGAGCTCACGTGATATAAATTCTAGAAAATATTTATCCCTTCTGTACAAGGGACTTTTGCCAAATATTCAATAACGGTTTAATGATTTGAAAAACAGGATCCCCTGCACGGAGGCCGAAGCTCCATGCTATAGAGAAAAAATCGAAAGCCACCATCTCTAGAATACAATTCAAATATATATATTCGACCTTGTCTACCGAACGGTTCTTTGTGGCCGAGAGGTTAGGCACGTCAGCGTATATGACGGTTCCGTATAGGATGCAGGTTCGAATCCTGTCAAAGAACGAATATTTTCTATGAAAATTTCTCGGACATTCAGGCCGGTAAATATTATTTAATACTGTTTATCATAAACAGAGCATTTGCTTAAATACTTGTATCTATAAATAACAACGTTAAACATAAAAATGTCTTTAATAAATAAATTGTCGGACCTTGTCCATTTCTTAAAATATATATATATATATATATATATATATATATATATATATATATATATATATATATATATATAACATTTACCATGTTCAAAAAACTGTTTGTTGGCTTAAATCTTATGGATAATATTTCGGACGTATTTGGAATGTTAAATAAACAGAAAATGTCCTGAAATCTTTAATTATCCCAAATAATAAATTTTGAAGGCATCTTTTCAGATATTTTAAAAAACATACAAAATTTAATTTCTGAAACAGTAAAAGTTTAAATTCTGATAAAAGAATGTTTAGAAAACTTGAACTTGTATAATAAAATATTTTTATTTCGAGCATTGAATAAAAGCTTTTGTTTGACAATAGAAACGACCATTTGCTTTCGTAAAGGATCCGTATGTTTTCTTTTAATATCTTCATTTTCTTTTTCTCTTTGTAGAATTGACCTTTGTTTTTACTTTTATTAACCTGAGATTCTTTGCATAGTTGTTCGTGACTGTTATGCAACCGTTTCGCGGAAGATAAACGTAGAAAACGTGTTCAGACTGGCATAAATTTTACCTGAATTAGAAACTAGTTATTTGCTACCAACAATGGAAAAATGGAACACGCTGTTACGGATTTCATATGAAGAGCCTGTCATATTCGAACTGGTACGGCATATGTGTCTAAATTATTTTGTTAACACATTCAACACTTTTTTTTTTTTACGTGGAGAATAAGAATATAGCATTATTGGGATTCAGTTATTAAACTCAGCAATTTGATGAGAACAAAATGAAGAAAAATCGTGATTCCTTTTTTTTTTTTAAAAAAGGAACGTTATGCAATTAACATTATTTGACGCTGAACGTGTTAATGTAAACTGAAAAATGTTTGGCTCGCTTCATCTTTGTTGCATACATCAGCATATGTTCTTGACTACTTTTATTAGAATTGAGGTAATGTTTGAGGGAGATGTCTGTTGTTTAACGTGAAAATATTTTGTCCTTTCTTGCTAGAAAATGTGTGTGTGTTTGTGAATTAAAAGAAAAGCCAACAAACACCATATCTCAAGGATAATAATTATATCGTTTTCATTTTCACTGGCGTCCTAATTTCTGACAGCCAAGTAGAGAATTCCCCTAAAATGCCTATTTCCAAATGACCCGAGAGTTGATTGTTCGATTCGCGATAAAAGGCAAGAATTTTGAAACCTGGTGGCAAACCACCCCCATCACTTGGCATATTGGCACAATATAATCACCATATACGAATTTCGTTGTATTTTGCTTGTGTCACTTTAAGCTAAACTTAATAAACATCACTCAAGATTACAGACAGAAAATTGATGATGAATCTTATATCGGTAAAGAGGCTATAATTTTAAAGTCTTCTGTATGAGAAAAAGATTTATCTCCGGTTATTATTTGTTTTTAGCTTATTGAAATGTTAGGAACTATGAGCTTTGGAATATTGTTTGGGGATTATTGAGTCATGCGATACTTATCATAAGAAGGCCAACTATTCTTTTCCTCATGTCTGCAAACAATAGTTGCAGTCTGACAGTCAACGCTTAGTAAATACATCCAAGATTATAAAGTCTTATTTCAAACATCAAATAGATAACACTTAATCCGAAAACATAAATAGAAACAGGAAAGCCACTTTTGAAACTAAGCTCAATAGATCCATCAGCAAAGAAGTATGTCTCGTATTCTTACCCACACATCCCAAACATTGCACATAACATTTTGCAAGAAGCAGAAAACAACTACTTGTCTGTTAGACAAATGATTCTGTACCAGATTAAATTGATTGATTGTGATTGTTTAGCAGAATATCAACCTATATGGGTTATTTAATGCCGAAATCTAAATATTTTGTACGCAATTTTATATTACTTTTGGAGATAATAATGTTTTTAGTGATACATGTCTTACTAATCAACCTATAGTTTAGGTAGAAAAGGTGGATTCATACCTTATCAAGGGTAACTGCACGTAGGAGAATAAAACGAACCCAAGTAGAACTTGGCTCTCCTATTAACAATTCCGAGCCATTATCCATTACACCACCCGCACATCCAAATTTACTGCACATGACATTCCTAAGTGATCACCCATCATGGTACTGACCAGGCTCGGCGTTGCTTGACTTCGGTGATCATACAGGACCCAATGTTTCAACGTGATGTGGCCGTAATCCTGGTTTTAAATTGAGTATGTTCGTTCTGAATCTATTTTTCAGATAGGCGCATATTTATGTTCAAGGTAATAAATGATATTTAGACTCTATTAGTATTGTACACAGAATATTTATAGATTAACGAATTAATAAAGAGTTTAAATTTCTGTGCATTATTTACATTATTCGGACTATTGTCCTCATCTTTGTCGCCATATTTATTACAACGTTTCAGTAGGTGGTTCGAATGTCGAACTGAACCCTTTATTTCGCTCACTGGGGTAGACTGTTCTAGTTCCACGTGCCATGTTTAATGGATGTCAGTTATCGCCTGTTCTTTTTCCCTCTGAAAGTTCTCCACTGCCTTAACCGGGTATTGAACTCACACTCTTTTGGGTCTTGTCACTGGATCTAACTTACACCTTTATCCCCTGTGCCATGTGTGCCTTCTTCAGGTGGTTGGAATGTCGAACTGAGTAAAGTGTTAAGTTCGACATTCCAACCACCTGAAGCAGGTAGAAACGTTGTAATAAATATAGCGACAAAGATGAGGACAATAGTCGGAATAATGTAAATAATGTACATAATACTTCATCTCAGAAATATAGACATTTACATTTCAGCTCAAGAAAATGTAGATTACGATAGGAAATAACTGAATAAATATAAAATATTCGCTTTATTTCTGACATATCAAAAATGTTTAGACACTTTCTCTTTCACATAAACGTGGCGCTGTTTTCTTATTGAAGGAACAAATAATAGTTACCATCATGTTTGGGTTGACTTGGCTAGACACCTAAATTCTACCTCAAATATATCCAGGTGGAAACTTTAAACATATATATTGTTTATCTAGCTCCGTTTGCATAAAACGAGCAAAAAATGTAGCACTGCCCAAGAAATACACCAAAAGATTCCGTGTTCAGAATTTCTTTAAAGACATCCGAATTTCTTTGATGTGATGTTGGAATATTTATAAAAAAAAAAAAAAAAAGCATTTTTAATACGAAGACCCAAGAAAATATTATGTATAATTAATACGAATGCATTCCATAGTGCCAGATCCAATGGATGCTAATATATTATTTCTAAAATAATTACGCTGAACATAAATATACTATGGTTATATCTTCAAAATCTGATGTGATGTGATAATTCTGAGTCCATATTCAGAGTATCAGTAGACTCGATACTGTCTTATGCTCGTCCTCATTTATCATTTTCAGCAATGGTTGCTCTTTTCCACGTATGCTTATCTCCTTCAACACCCGCACAGCCAATCTGTAGTTAATATAGCAACAATACTGAGAAAAACTTAGTTCAAGTGTGTGTTTACCAGGACCACATACCGTTTTAAATTCAGAGTTGTCGTTTTCCTATACTGGTTGCAACCACGGCTATAGAGTTCAGTTTGTGGTACTATTTAACCCATAGATAGAATAAGAGAGAGAGGGATTCCTACCTTTCCCGAGGGTATTTGTGCGAAAGTGAAGATGATAATTTATTTCACAATTCAAACTAGGTTCACCGCTTTCTTGCACCCGAGAGCCTCTACTGCACCACCTGCACATCCGTCGACCTGTTCTACTGCGGGGAAAATTGGCTTTCTCGTGCCAGTATTGTTAAACTCTGGCAGTTCTGCGACAGATATGTAATCCAAAAAGCCATGACCTATATCACACACACACACACACATACATGTTTATATATATATATATATATATATATATATATATATATATATTTGGTTGGATCATCTATCCAACCAAATATGTTAGCTCTATCTCTGATATTGAGCGCTTTCTAATAAGTACCACGCATATAATATATAAATAATTATACATACTTATATTTATTTATATACACTTTTCACACACACACACACACACACACACACACACACACACACATATATATATATATATATATATAGTAATCATTTCACCACAAGCAAGGCGACAATGCTATTAGAACGCAGTTGGTTAAAGAGAGTGAATGAGAAAGCTGAGAATGGGGAGGATTGAGCAAAGGAACAAACTTCAAGAAGACAGACGATGGCGATTGACATTACATTTAAATTTTAAAAAATCATAGTCATCAGGAAGGCAAGATATCGGAATGGAGTTCCACTGGTGGAAAGTGCAAAAAACAAAAAACAAATAAAAAACAACAAAAAAAACAAAAACACAAAAAACAAAAAAAAAAAAAAAAACAAAACAAAAAAACAAATTATTAGAGTAGAAATGATAGTTGCATCTATTGAGTTCAACAAGTAAAACAGTGAAACCTAGTTACCAATCTATGGAGTCGGTCACCAGGAAAAAAAGATTGTCCGAGCAGTTACCATGAAAATATTTGTAGAACAGACAGAGCAAAACCATGTTACGTCGGTGAGAAAGTTACTGGAAACGAGATGCCTGGTTAGAATTGATTATATTATATATATATGTGTGTGTGTGTGTGTGTGTTGAAGTGTCATAGAATGCGCTAGATTATTCTATAATGTTTGACGAATAAAATTCTATTTTGATTAAGCTTTGTCTAGATGAACTAGAGAGCTAAATGATATTTTTGCTGCGGCCAGCCAACGTAAGGTAGTTTTATGCTTATAAAATCTGCTATATCTGTCTGATCCAAATTATAGATATTCACAGAGCTCGACAGAATTTGTGCTGTCAGCTTGGCTCCTTTTCCTGAATAATTAGAATAACTCACCTCCTTATAATTATCTCATTCAAAATATCATTCATTCAACAAAAAGCTTTTATTCAAATGATATTCCAAACACTATAGTTCTTAAAAGCTTAAAATCACTTAAAGTCAAGGCCAATATTTAAAGAGCATTAAAAAGAATAAACATTGAAATTTGGGCGGGAACAGATTTAGCCTCTTTTTAATTTTGTTAGTTTAGCCTAACGATATTTAACATTATCATTGTCTTTGAAAGGATACAAAGAATTGAATTATTTGGTGTTGAGCCCATATCGTGGTCTGGATAGTTACCTATGACCCACCCAGATAAAGTCATGACGTTACAAGATAATATTGGAGCTGTCTTTTATTTCGTGTATTCCAGGAATATTTCCAGACATGTCTATTAATTGTCTTCTCGTCGTGGTATCTGGCCAGTATTAGGCTAATTAACCCTGACAGAAAAGTAGATAGATTAACACACACACACATATATATATATATATACATATACATATACATATGAAATATATATATATATATATATATAAAGTAGAAGACACCCACAAAGAGAAAGAGAGAATGCCCACTGTTAGGTACAAAGATATATATCTGCAAAATGAAGTTATAGTGTTCCCACCCATATACACAAACAAGAATACAAAAAGAAAGATTTTCTAAGTACAGTGTAACCCGGATATAAGAGAGTTGTCGGGACCGGAGAAGTCTCTTATATCCGGATTTCTCTTATATCCGGGTTTGGTCTATTTTATATACATTAACACAGGCTCTAATTTGGGACTAGAGAAAATCTCTCTTATATCCGGGTTTCTCTTATATCCGGGTTTCTCTTATATCCGGGTCTCTTATATCCGGGTTACACTGTATTATTCTTTTCGTTCCAGAACTACTGATTCGTGTTTTTAAAGAACAAGTTTCTTAGTTGGCACAAAGGCTAAACGAGACTTGTTGCATTTGTTTATACCTCATATTCAAATCGATATTTCACTAAAAGGATAAGACTGCTGTATCCAAATTTTCAATGTTTTTCCCGGTAGATTTATCTCGGCGACTACTTGACTAGAGAGAAGTCGAGACTTTTTAATAGACACTCTATTACTAAATAGGAATAGTCAACACCGAGTATTACGATATTGTTCGATTCCATTGAAAGCGACAACAGTTTTCTATTTAGATCACATGGTTGAAGCAACAAGGATACAAATGCTGACATTCAATATAGTCAAAGTTTCCCAGTGTGATGATTAGCGCAACGCAATCTTTCATTTCGTCGATTTGCCCTTTTAGCTGAAATTCTTGGCATTAAAAGATTAAAATCCAACTGCCTTGATGCGAAGCGCATAATGTAGCATTTTATCGTTGACAGTTGAGAACGAGCATCTTTCAATCAATCACTGTATTAAAAAGAATCGATTTTTCAGGCAACATCTCGCTATTACACTTCACATTGATGATTAAAACATTTTCTAGTGCATTCTATACCTGTAGAAGAACGGTAAAAATTTTTTGAAATGACAATCTCAAAGTAATCTGTGTCGAATTCCAGACAGCATTGAAAATTCTATTAATAAAAAATGCTGTTTTTATGCTTATTCATTGCCTAATTATCGATTTAGTGGCATTAAGAATTTAGGCCATATTTTCTTCTAATGGCAGTTTTAATTTGGCAAATTATTTACCGAGTGTGCAACCATTTTGAATACTGTTCCGATGCTGTTTGACTACATGCTATGTCAGGTGAAACGGATGCAGTAGTGCCGTTGTTGGACTAACAAACACTGGGAACACATATCACCTTATGAAAAATATTCAGGATAGTTATCTGAGAGTTTTTACTGTTGATAATATGTGAAGTATAAAAAGAAAAGAAGCCTTTTTTTTTTGAGGGTGACTTTCTCAACATGTGATATTGTGGCAAAAAATCGCTGATACGCGGTAGGATTAATTTCGGGAACGGTTAAAAAAAATAATAAAATATGAAAAAAAAAAAAACATCGAGATTCTGGAAAGTTAAAAAAAAAAGGTTAATTCTTAAATGTTTGAAGGAAATAAAAGAGGTAAAAAAATCCCATATATTCAGGATAAACCATTCAGGTGTCGAATTTATTTTGCTTAACACAAAAATGTGGATCATTTAGGAAAAAGGAGTTGCCCGTCTTCATTATTCTGACATTGACCAATTTGCCGACGCAAAGAATCATTATTTTTTCTTTTCATCCTAACATCAAATTTATTTTAAATCTTCCAAGCAAGAAATCGAATTCTCTCAATAGACAAAAACTAGCTTCCAAAGAAAACAATT